TAGTATGAATTTAAGGATCGAAATTGGAATTCGTCACTTAGCCGTGAAACTTCCTTTCGTTAAGCCATTGAATCAAAAATATTAAAGCAGTATTCTTGAACATTTTATACACAGTACAAATGTCAATATAATTGTTACAATATATCCCTCAGACGATCAATATATTCGATATTGATTCAATAATATTGACCGTGTAAGGTGGACTTTCGATACATCATTCATAAAAATTCATCGCTACTGAGTGTCGAGAAATGGATCTATACTGGCGTATTATTTATAGTGAAAAAAATGACTTAATTGTTAACGATGCATACTTTTTTTTCTTCTAGAGATTATCTGTTATATTTATTAATTTATGATTATTATCACAGTTTACAACGAAGTAACTGAATGGATGAAAAATATACCATTCATAATACCTTGAAATTCCTTGTTGAAGAAATGACAACCGTTACAATTAATATGCCAAGCCTCATAAGCTCACTACTTTTTCACCTTGCACTTAAAGGTTATTCCTATTCAACTCATCCATCCAACTAGAAAGTTTTTAAGTGAATGGAAAATGGATTTCTTCTTCTATGGATGGAATGGAATGGGTCAGACCTTTTTTGAATTTTAAGAAGTGCTATTATGCAGATTGGCGTACATGTCTAGTAGCACTGAGGAAATTCTCTGTCGATGTGATGTATAAATCGACTACCAATTGAAACTATAATCATCCGAAGCAGGTACCATTAGCTCCTAATTCGGTAGATATTAGTCCGTGGTACAGACCCCTTTTCATCAAATTATTAACATCCTCCAAAAAATTCATGAATACCTTTATCTCTTCGTGGCCTACAAATTTTTCATTTATGAAAATTCTTGGAATTGGGGTGTTTTCATTCTGGAGATCGGCAAACTTTATCTATTTAATTAAATACTAAAAACTCGTAAATATCCATTTGCTTTCCACTTGAATCGTAAGATAATGTGATCAAAATGTTGAGAAAAAAAGGTGGCCTGCAAAAATATTGGACCATTCCCTGTGACCTCCATTCCCAACATATTCAAATAACGAGGTTCTATAGCCCACCAATATTTTTGTAGGCTACACTTTTTTTCGATTTTGTGATCACATTATCTTACGACTCAAGTGGAAAGCAAACGGGTATAAAAATTCCGAGAATTTTCGTAAATAAAAAGTTGTAGGTTATGATGCGATGAAGTTCTTTACGAAGTTTCAGACGGATGATTTCGTGATGATGATGACGAATATTAAAACGGAATAATTTGATAAAAATGGGTCTGTACCACGGACTACAACTGTAATCGAGAAATTCATTTAGCATTATTTTTTTCCTTTTCATTTCAAGATTTGACACGTTTTAACGTAATATTGACATTTAACTACATTTGTAATTATTAAATTCACAATATATTTTTATAATTTTCTAAATGTTTTTCTAAAACGAAATAGAGACATCCACTACAATGACAAGGTCTATAACAAATATCTTTAAACTTTCTTATTAATTACTAAAACTTTTGTTAAATTACATCACATTTTATTATCAAGAATATTTAGGACTTAATTTGGCCGTTTTCAAACATATTTGTAAACTGTTTACCTCCTTAGTTTAAAATTTCATTTTTGCTGTTATGAAAAAATGGTTGGTTTTTCATTTTGACAAAAATATTCTTTTTGTAAATTTTTTATGGTGGGATTTTTATTTCTAAAAAAAAATGAAAATTCTTTTTTAAATTAAGTAACACGTTAATTTTTTTGTTGGGTTGAGCAAGAATATATATTTATTTTTCCTATGATTTTAGAATTTTTTTTTTAAAAATATAGGTTGTTTTGAAATACTCAAATATAAATTGTATTGAAATTCTCGACCACTGGATAATGTTCAGAAGACTCTAATACAGCACAAGTATCAGACCAGAAACCTGTCAAGGCATTTAGCCCTGAGGGAAAAGTTTTTGAAAAAACCTATTTACGAATATGATTATAATTATAATTCTTTATTTATTCGGGGATAAGTCCCTTTTGAATAATATACAATGATAAAAATTAGGGCTATAGAGCCTCAGAGAATAATCACAAAAATTACATTGTGTGTTTTAGATCACATAGTGGAAGTGAAAACATCAACAAGACGAGATTAATAGTATGAAATATATATATATATATTATATATATATAATATATAATATATATATATATATATATTCTATATTCACAAAGTAATAACTTTTAAAATGTATAAAATTATAATTGTGTATAAATTACTATAGTAAAATTTACTCTAATTGAACGTCACTTGTATCATATCCTTAAAAAGACACAGTAGGTTTATGTTACTTTTGATTAAAATATATTTAAATGTGAGGTCAGTAATTCATGGAAACTGTATCGAGTGGAACAAATAATCGAATAGATAACATAATTTCTTATTTTTATAGCGAACTAAAAAAAAATCTGTATTTACTTGCGCAAATTGGCATCTGATTCCTCCATGATATTTAAACTTTGAAATATTTTAGTAGTTGTTTAAAACAGTTGTTATTATTGTTTTTTTCCTTTCCGATTCTCTAATTCGGAGTCAAATACAAATTTTTATTTATAGCTCATTAGAAGAAAATGAAATGCTGAAAATTTCCCTTACCTATAATTTAGAAGTTCGATTATTAGTTTATGAGATATTTTAATCCAAATGCAATTTTAATCCACACTATTATTCAGTTATATACTGAGGTAATTATTCAATTAGTCACCTCGAGCCGACTTTACCCGAATGAGCGTTACATACCCGAGCTTGACGACACTCATTTACTGAAGATGTTCTAAATTTAAAAAAAAAATAACTAAACGGTATAAGGTTCCTTCTAACTTTAATCGATTAAGAAAAAAAAAAGTGAAAGATAATTGAGATAAAAAGAATTATATGGTTGATATATCGATATTAAAAGCTTCTTCACCAACACAGACTACTTAACAAATAATATACATAGAAAATCTTTAATAAAATACTGAACGAAGAGTATTATAGTAAAAAAATTTCTATGTTAATGTTAATGTTAATCTTTAACAGTCATGTTGTGGATAGTTTGTCATGCGGCATGGTATATCTCATCCGCCGGCCGAAATTCTAATACCGGGATTCCCCATGACTTTTTTCAAAGCTGTCACACCAAGAAAGGGGAACTGTAATTACTCTGGAAGAAAAAGAAATAAACTGTATGAAATGGCGTTTAAGTGGTCCTTTAATGCATTTAAAAAAATAAACAAAAAAAACCTGTAATTACAGGAACCTATGCTTTTAGGAACATTCGTTTTAAATATTTTTTTTCTTGATACATTAAACGTGACTTGACGGCACTATCGGATCCAGTATTTAATTTTTGAGGGCTTCTGCCCGAAAGCTTTTATATACATATATATAAAAGGATAATTATTTTGGGGAAAAAAAGCAAGAAACTAACTACCTATATGAAATGGTATTTCAGCGATTCTTGAAGTCCTATTAAATGTAATCACACAAACAATAACACTTTAAGAAATAATTTTTTAATATATTTTTTTTTTTATAAAACATGGCTGTATTTAACCATTTTGAGGAATGGGAAGGGCTTCAACCCGAAATATAATAAGAGGATGAAGATATATACTCTTATATATATATATATAAGAATACTGAAGGGACTAATAATAATAAGTACTAATTTATGTTTTTTATTTCATTTTGTTTTGTCTTAATATTTTTAATTAGAATAATTTTAACTGTTCGATATTTTTTTAATTTCTCTATTATTTTACCTTCATGTGTGTTCATATTTTAGGGGAAATCATCTTTAACTACATAAAGACTGCATTTTTCACCACATTCTACTCCATATTGGCTACGTTTCGGCTATGTTGTCATTTTCAAGCTATTTAGTTAATACTGCTCTTTCTGTTCAGTCCATAATTGTGAAAATAAATTATAATAAATAAATGAGGTGAAAAATACAGCCTTTTTCTATGTAGTATTATTTAACCTTTATTGTTTTATTTTCTATTTCATTAATATAATACTGTTATTACCTATTTACTGGGTTTAGCCCTAGTGACGCGGTTGAGAGAGGAGTGCAGGGAACTCCTGGAGTCATACTTTTCCCTCCACAGTTGGAGGAACAAGTCTGGTTTGGAGTTCTCTCGCCAAATTGTAAATATTGTATATAGGTGTGTATGTGTTCTTTTTATTTATATATTTTTAGGTTATTTTATTCTTATTTATTGTATACATATTATTTTTCTGTATAATTTATTTTATTTATTGTACATATAGTGTGAATGTAATCTGTGAACTCTATTATAAATGTCCTAGAGACAGATTGTAATATTTTTCAATAAATAAGTTAAAAAAAAAAAAAAAATTACCTATTTATTTTATAACGATCGCCACATGAGTTGCTAATTTCCAAATTGAATCCTAATATATTTTTTTTGTAAATCGGGATAAGTATAGGCGGGCTCCGACACCCACAAGTCATCAGACCATCATTCTCCATAACAATAATCGAGCTCAGATCTTTCGGGCTGAAGCCCCCCAAAATGGTAAAATCTAATCACGTTTTATGGGAAAAATATAAAAACATTATCTCTAAAAGTATTATTGTTCATGTAATCACATTTAAAAGGACTTTAGGAATCACTTAAACACCACTTCATGCAGGCAGTTAGTTTATTTCTTTTTTTACAAAGTAATTATCGTTATTTTTATGAGAAAAAAAGCTTTCGGGCTGAAACCCTCCTCAATATTAAATTCTGGATCCGCTAGTGTTAGGTTAGAACTGCGTTTGTACAGTAAAATGATAAAAATGAAATAAATATGGGGATATGAAATTTGGAACTTTATATATATATATATATATATATATATATAAAACGAATATTTATATATATATCAATTACTTCTTTTTATGTATTTATGTTGTGGTTTTATCTGCCAGGGTTAGATCACATTTGAGCACAATCAAGAAGCAGGTAGGAATACCGCTATACCGGAACAGTGCTGTCTTGATCTGCAGCTAGTCACTGATGGATGGTGCGAACATCGAACGCCTTCGATAGTTAATCTAGTGGGCAGTGACCTGGTTAAGGTATGGGACAGTCGCGAGTGTGTAACGGTACCGGAGGCGATGCTCTTCCACACTGAAGAGAGTTCTCGCGATATACGCAGCAAGACCTGAAGCAGGGACAATTTGATTAGGTGAAACTGCATTAACTATTCAGTATATATTTGGTTACCCTGAGACAAAAAACAAAAAACTAATAATACAAATAAAAGTCAAATTATATATTAATTCATATTATTAATATACGAATATGCTAAGGATGCTGCTATATTATCAATATCCATGACATCATCTTTTCGTTATTACTCAGCTTCGTATCGCAAGATAGGATTCGATAATGTAGTAATATCGAAAGAAACATGCCAATATCGGATTTCGATAAAGCGCATTGTATTTTTTCAGTTTTTCAATAAATATGTTAAATTAAACTATGGAACCAACCCTTATCAGCCTAGCAGCAGACCAATTTTACAAATTCTACAACTATTCGTTTAATTTTACTAATCATTACTCAAATTGTATAACTGTAAACGACTTGTATTCAGTAGTTCAGATTGCGTTATTTTTTATCAACACAAAATAAACGGAACGAAACTACAGTTCAGAAAAAATTTAATTTTTTTAAAGATCTATATTATACATCGCGCCTTATTACTAATGTGTATTACTGTATAATTTTAATCTTTATATATTATTTCTCAAAGGCGATTTTTGCGTCGTAATCGTCAATTCTTCATCAAATCTAAGGATTGAGCCCTCATTTTAAAGATCTTCTTCTCGTTTAGGTGGGAAAAATAGCCACATCCCCCCGAAATTCAAGAACAAAAATTATGAAGGAAAAGAAACTTTATTTGCGAATAACTCAAAAAGTATGCATTTCTTTCTTGATTGTGCCCACGATCACTAGCGGATCCAGGATTTAATTTTGGAGGGAGGAAGGGTTGACTTCAGCCCGAAAGATTTTTTTTTCATATACATATGACAATAATTAATTTGAAAAAAAAAAGAAAGAAATTAACTACCTATATGAAACGGTGTTTAAGTGATTCTTGAAGTCCTATTAAATATAATTACATGAATACGAATAATTTAAGAGATAGTTTTTAATATTTTTTTCTGTAATCTATATTTTATCATTTTTGGGGGGAGGAGCTTCAGCCCGAAAGACCTTCCCCCCCCCCGTAGAACCTCCTGTGCCCATGATTATTAGAGAGATTACTAAATTATCTACAAATAAAAAAAAAAATGTAAAAATCGAACCATTATTACTAAAGATACAGTTCATTAGATTTGATCTACATAAAACTTTCTTCCTCTTCGAAGATACTGCCTTTGTATTCAACTACCGTTTTTTCCTGGCTGATATATACTGCATTATTTCTTAAAGGCATTTTTCATTGGTATATTTTACATTTTTTAATAATATAGAAAATCCTTATTTTGAATATGTCTTATCGAAAGATATTGTTTTTTAAACATAATAATTTATATCTGTTTATTTAAGTAGCAATATTTAAATACTTCTATTTTGTAATTATTATTTAATTGATATTTGTATAGAGTAAAGATTTATATACTGCTTGCATTTCAACAGAATTTTGGAATGCTTTACAGATGATTCATACTACAAAGACGAAGTACGTTCTGGTTTCTTTTTCATGTACAACTTGTGAATGAATTATTAACAAGATTATTTAATCTATATTCAACTTCTCGTCATTTTAAATTAGTTTTAATAGGTAATTGATGAAAATATATTCAGTTATTTAAAAAAAAATTCCTTTAAATATAAATGTCATTTCATATTGATGGTGCCGATCAATATTATACTAATACGGACCGACATCGATAAAAAAAATTATATTATTAAAATATATTATGATATACATTGTGTATTAGATTTCGTACAATGTATTATACGTCATAAGCAATAAAAAATATAAGTACAAACATGATCTAATGGTCTTGGCTTTATAGTTAATATTTACTTAAGTCTTAGGATGGCATGCACAGAGAATAGAATATGTATTATATATTCTATATACTGGATGCTTCAGGATTAAGTGGCCAAACTGAAAATATGAATTAAGGACCTCAAAACAAGAATACAAATTACTATGAAGGAATCTCCGCAAACGCTTTGTTTAGGAGATATTTACACCTAAAAATTGTAATTGTTATGAATTATTTAGGTTATATTAAGAAAAAGAAAACTTATTCATTTGTTCCAACTACATTATTAATTAAACGTAAACATTAAATATGAATGCTAATGTTAATTAATTAATAAAGTAGTAAGAGCAAATAAATAGGTTTTATTTATTTCATATAATGTAAATAATTCATAACAACGAAAAATTTTAGGTGTGAATATCTCCTAAACAAAGCGTTTGCGTACATACTTTCAGAGGAAATTTTTTTCTTGTTTTGAGGTCCTTAGTTCATTTTTGCAGTTTGCCCACCTAACCCTGAAACACCCTGTACATATATGGTTGTGTATCTCCAAATTCCACTTTAACGTTCCGTGGAAAAGGATTGCTTTTAAGAAACTTAATGAAAAAGGACTCCTTTCAGCCAATTTGATTGCAGAGATACTTCTATAAAAGAATAACGTTATTGTAAATTGTAACAGTCCCCCGGTTACCTCCTCGATGCTTAATCGATACTTAATAAAACGTTTTTGCGCCATGTTTATGAGAATAAAAAGAAATATCGTCTTGCTCGTATAAAAAGAGTCATTTTTCATAGTTTCATGAAAGTATTCCTTTTTGACTGAACATTCAAGCTGACTGAGGGACTATACATACCAACATAGACATTTTTTTCAATAATTAGAATTATATCGATAGGTATCGGAATCATTTATGGCAGAGATGTCGCGTGGGTTTCTAATATCTAGGGCGAAATTTTACTGAGACCTTACTTCTAAACCGGACAGAAGTCTTTTTTAATCTTTTCGAGTAATAACTATTTTACTTATTCTAATCATAGCTATGCGAACTATACCAAACAATATATTTGGGGCAATGGGCCTTGCATTTCCTTCAACCGCCCATGGATTTCAAATTTCTATGAATTTTTTTCTGACAGCATTGAAAGTGAATTTAGAAATACATTTTTTTTTATAATTCAGTCAATAAAATAATTTAATGGAGAGTTAATCATGATGATAATATATTTTTTAAAAATTGTATTAACCAAAATACGTAATAAAAGTTTAATATTTTATTGGTGTAAGGAAAGCGTGGCAGTTGAAAAAATAAATAACCAAATTAAGCCTCTTCATATTAGAGAAAAAACATAATTATCCTCCCTCACCTTCCATGTGTCTTAGTAACAGTACAATCCAAAAATAAATCTAGGTCATAAGAAAGAACTTATTGTAAAACTATTATTAATTGTAAGTCCTGAACTTAATCATTACCACGTTGTATTTTTATTTATAAATTATGTAATACTCGTGTTTAAAAATAATGCAATACTCCGATTTTTAAGCCTTTCTCATTCTTCTTTTCAAAATTTTAGAATTATTAGTACTTCCTTCCACGTCGTATACATCCCAAATTAGTTTGAATAGAAAAAAAAGAAGATCGGACGACGTTAATTTAGGCAAAATAGATTATAAATAAAAATGCACTGCTAACACTGAATTAAATTGTATTTCGTAAAACAATGTAATCGATTTTCCTTGATATCTCAGCTCTTCGATTTATGGTCTGATTCAACGAAGGTGATATGTGTAAATCATTAAAAAATAAATTATTAATTAATAAAAAATTATAATTTTTTTGTACTAAAATGTTTAATTTTATTACGATAATGAAGTTAAATACATCTTTTAATATCATTGAAAAAATAAATACTTCATGACTAGCCAGTAATTTTAGGAAAAACGGGTACAACAAAGACTTTTTTTTCGTTTCCTTTTGAATAAGGTAGATTGTTTAGGGTTTTAATTAAATGTCATATCTGATTAAATAATTGCAAATTTTCAAACAAAAAATATATTAAAGATCGACAGTTTAATCCTTGTCCATTTGAGTTAAATAAGATTTGAGTCATTTTACGATTTCCGTTGTATGTATGCGTACTGGAGAAAGAGGTTGGTGAGTGGTCTTCCAGCCTCCAGAACTGGTCTTTTAATAGGTCTCTGGAGCAGCCGCTTTGGCCTTTGTACTCCTTCCTGGTGGTCATCAACTACTTGGAGTTTACTGGTAGCAAGGTTATGTGTATGAATATGCATTTTTTGTATGGACATGAATATGTTTTTAAGCATGCTTGTAAGTATTTACTACTTATATGTGTAAATTATATAACAAGATTGATAAACTATAACATCTATTTAATTTAATTTACATTACCAAGATGCTAATAATTATATGAATATGTAAATAAAGACAAATAAATACAATTAGCCAAACTGTTATTGTCAATTAATTAAAATAACCGTAGATAACAGATAAAAACAATATTTATTTTTATTTGTTGGAATTAGCTATTTCTTGCCACTTTATATTTTATAGTTATGAACATTCCCAAGAACAATTAATTGTTTAAATTGGTTAAATGACAGCCTAATGCCCTATAACTTCATACTTCGGATTCGACATAAGCAGCTGAAGGAAATCAAAGTTGAAAAATAGATTAATACTGACCAGAATAAAGATCACCTTCCGAGCAGTCATTTCAACAATCAAAGATGGTAGTTACTTTAAATAGTTTAACACTTTAAACTTTCAACTCTTTTGCTCAGATTTGGAACTTGATATCTATTATTTTATAAGCAATTATCACAGAGAGGAATAAAAATTAATGGATATGCCTGTTGCAATATTTGCTTTTATTTTATTCGACCAATAGTCCAGAAGGACAAAGTAAAAACAAATAATATTTAGTAAAATAAAATAAAAAGAATATTTTGGAAAATATTTGTTGAAAAAATTTGAAGAAAGTTGTCGTCCATTCTTCTAATATATAATTAAGATTCCTTCTAGTTATTATTATAGTTTCTAGCTAAATTATCCATAACAACGATTCGGATAGTTACAATAATTTAAGTTATTATAGCTCATTTTAGCCAAAATAATTCATCGTAAAAAATAGTTAATAAATTTTCTTCAGAATATTTCATACATTTCAAAAATTATAAAATTTGATTTCATTGAAAAATATTGTCCATACCGAATCAATTTCTAGTTAAATCGGAAGTGTTTAAATAACTGTAAAAAAAAATGTCACAGCCTTTATTTACATTTTCATGATGGATTGTCGCGAAGTTAAAGAAAATCCTTGGTTGTATTCCAAATAGGTAATAAAAGGCTTTTATTTACAATAGAATATAGAGTTTCATTTCCAAATTTAGGTCGCTTTGTTTATTGTTTCCCTTATCTGACGTGGGAAATATGTTGTTTTATACTCGATTTTTATTATAGTTTCGAATTGAGGTGATTATTTATATTATGCTTCATTGAGCGAATTTGAACCAACTCTTGAATTAATTTAGATATGCTTGGATCATACAACGTAGTACGTCAAGGTGGAACATGGCTTCGACACTGCTGTAGATACGTAAATACAAGAAACGGATGAACACGGCAGATAGAGGACAGACGCCGCCGAAGAGAAAGATAAAGACAGAGACCTACCTGCGGAACCTTCATGCTGCGGCTACTGGCTGGCTCCCGAAGACCACATGCTGCACCCCAAGAGTCAATGAACGTGGAACGGTAAAGGCAGCTCTGGGAATGGACGGGAGAGCTCCCCTCCTGCATTCCTCCGTCCTCCCCTCTTCGCCTTTTCTTAACTGTTCCATCCCCGAAAGTAAAAGGGTTCTTCAGGTAGTTCCTTCCAGAACTATGTGAGAGGAGGCATAGCCGACTTCTTTCTAGCAGGGAAAGAACTAGCTAGTTCCGTTAGGAGTAATTAACTTAGGATCGGCAAAAAAATTGAGAGTGTCATGATTAGGGTAGGCTTCTTCAGCATACGCGACTCTTCGTCATTCATTAAGACGAGCCCTTCAAAAAAACAGTTCTGTTGATCCAACTTCATCTTTAAGCACCTGAACGTCATATATTAAATATTTTTTGTCAATTTTTTAATAATTAAAATTAAAAACAAACCGTAATCATGACGATTCCACAGACAGGTCATTTTATGAAATGGTCATTTGGAACCTGTATATGTATATGAAAATATGTATTTCCGTTGAAAATTTGGATTCGAAATTATTCACAGTACTTTCCCTTGCTATATAATTCATATACAAGTAAGTGAAACTATAATATAATAAAGATATTATAGATAGAAAAATATATTTTCTATATAGAATAAAAATTATAATGCTCATCAATGCACTATACATTGAACGACGTGGATTGGAATTTCCACTAAGATACGCCGAGCGCAGGTTCAGACGCAATTTGGTGAGATGAGGGGACGAAAATAGGTAGGATTCAGGGGGGCCCAGAAGGGGGTGTCATTGCTCAAATTGCACTATAACAATTTTTAAAGAAGACAACTTTTTACGGAGTTTTTAAAGCTCTTTTTTTCTTTTTTTTTTTATTCATTGATATTTACAAATGTATTATAAAAAATAAAGACAACTGGTAAATGTGCATTCAGGAATATAATAACATTAAATCTCTTGTTGAGAAACTACCCACTGATAGCACTCAAATAATAAATTTACACAAGAAGATCACGAGACCACCTTCTTTTCAGACGCATCGAAACGTAGGTTTGAAACGAGAGAGTTCAGATGGTTCTGCAGTTTGTTATGGAAGGATAAGTATCTGGACTGGGCCAAATCGGAAACATGGAACATTAAGGTCTTTATGGATGATTTTATTTTTGACAAAGTAAGGAGCATTGAGGATTTTACGAAGGATTTAGGATTGGATACGAGAGGAATTCAATGGTTTAGTGGAGCCCCAAAGCTCAATTCCGTAAATCCAAACAGGTCTTATTATTGTCATATATATGAATTGTTTGTAATTGATTGAAAGCTTAGAGCGTTTGTCTAGTAAGTGTTGGAGTAGTCGGAAACGTCGAGCGGTTTCTTGTCGTTTCAGTCTTGTATGAGGATTCCATGTGGGTATTTTGTCCTGGTGGAGTCCTAGGTAACGGAATTGTTCAACTTGGATAAGTGGGGAATTGTCAAAGGATACTGTAGTACACGAGGTCATAGGTTTGCGACGCAGGGTAAAGGTAATTTGATGGGATTTATTCGAATTAATTTTAATTCTCCAGTTTTTACACCATTCTTCAAGGTTTGTGATATGTGATTTGAAGATGCAGTTGATGGATCATTTTTAACAGATAGGATACATGTGTCATCAGCATACGTGGTGATGACAGTGTGAGGATGGGTTGGGTTGTCAACTGTATAAACTGTGTAAATGATGGGACCAAGAATACTACCTTGAGGATTTTTATAGTTTAAGGTGGAAAATGTTGACGAGATTATGTCAATTATGAATGAAAGTTTCAAGTGTCAGAGAATAAGGGGAAAAACATGGACCAGACCACAGAAAGTTTGATTAATGTACAAGATTCACGATTATTCTAATTCGCTTGTACTATTATTAAGAAAAGGATAGTAATAAAATTTCTTGGAACGGTAGAGAGAGATTCATGCGCCACCAACCTTGGGGGAATGGGCACACCTGATAGGATTCAAAGGACTGCGCGTAGGGAGAGCAAAAAGTTCCATTGCAACTACGTCTGTGAGGTATTGTTGGAAAATGAATATAAAATAATATGTATGTACTTCCGAATCAGAATCTTATAAACTAGATTTTTTTAATTTTTATTTTTATAATGCCTCTATCCCAAATGGTCATTGGCATTTCTGGTCATTCCATAAGAGGTTGGACTCCCGTTTTCGAGTCTTCTAGGACTTCTCGAATATTGTAACTGAATTTCAGTTTTTTCTTATTGGTGCATGCTGCTGGTATTCAACCAATAAGTGAGTGAACTAGAATTTTAAAAAATTACATTTTGTATCTTGCCTCAGGAGTGTTTGTTTAAAAAAAATAATAAAAACATTAAATCAGCCCATCTTTCCAAAAGATGTTTCTCTGAAGAAGAAAACGTTTCGCAAACGAGTCATTTGTCACTTGCAAGAAACTGACGTTACGAGCATAGACTATCGCAGTCCAAGGTCGCATTGAACCTAGGCAACATTTGTTATTTGGTTGGATTCATGTGTATAATACACAAAATCATATCCTACATCCACACCAACCTGCGTCTCAACGTAAGTCCGTCCTTACTGATGAGTACTGGCGTGTCTACATTGCTGTCTGGAGATATCGCTATATAATGTCACTACATTAGAACAGTCACTTGATTTAAGCGTTAAAAGCATTTATTGAATTATCAACTACAATGAAGTGAAATAATAAGTAATGAACCTTTGTTGAGTAGGATACAAAAAAAAGGGAACACAATTATTTAAAAAAATAACTACTTGATGATAGCCGTGGATAATAATATTTTTATTGAACTAAACAAAATCATTTAATCGAGAATTAACTAATCATTTGCAGTTTATAATTGTTTTCAATTATCACAATCAAGATGGTGCCTCTAACCTATAAAGTTGCACACGGCACCTAAAATATAACCAAATAAATAAATATAATTGTTTTAGTTAGTTGTTATATGTAATGATGGCCTTTTTGTTAAACAATCCCTTTTACTTTTTTCGCTCTGAACCCTAATCCTATTCCAACAAGTCCACTCCCACACAAATGTGATTTTTAGGTCTCATGCGAACTTCTAGCCCAGTAACCTTGTACATCGTAAGTTATATTGAATAGGGATAGAAGGTTTCTTTTGATTTTCTTATATAGGATATAACTGAGGCAAAATCCATGTTTTTGACCTCGTCGCCCGTTCGGATCACTTTTAAATACCCCGAAAACTGGTATATTTTCGCACTTGTTTCGGGTTTCTCCCATTTTATCCACAGAGGAGCATTTTTTTCGACAAAAAACAATCTATACATTTTTAAACTAGATTAAAAATGCTACTATTTAAAACCAGAACAGAATCACAAAAGTTTACGAGATACTTCCGAGATTTTCAAATTTTAGAAAATGTTATTTTTCATTTTAATTGTTTTTCATGTTCGATCATATGCAATTGTCCCCCGATGCAACTTAGACTCCCCTTTTCATGGCAAGATCATTGGGCTTTTCAGTCCGTGTCTAATCAAAACTATTCGTCCGATCTTGATGAAATTTGGCATTTTAACATCAAATTTTTCATTTATGTAATTAATTAATTCATAAAAATAGTTTCACTTTTACTTTATTTATATGTTCGATCTTGCTAAGACGTCAGGTGGATTGTCGCCAATCAGTGTGGGCATCTAGCGGATAGTAACGGAAAAGTGGCATGTTAGACACGGAGAAAAACGGTGACACATCTCCCGCGGCTGTCCATTTTCATCGAGCTCTTTTTTGGTCATATGTTGTAGTTGTCTCCTTTTTTTTTTTCTACGAGAGCTGCGACATCGTCCTAAATAAATAAATACCTTGATAAAGCCAGAAAGCTTTTTTATAAATTTCAAAAGTAGTTTTTAAAATGTTGTGTGTCTCTACATTGCCTCCAAATAAAGTTAGAGGAATTAATTTTTGTTATGTAAATTGAGTTGGTGTCAAAAAAGTGTCTTTTGGGCGTCTTCTCAACAATTATTCGGTATTATTAGAGTTGAAAATTATGGCCGCCGAAAACCGTATATTCTCTTCCCGTTCTCCTTCCGTTGGCTAAGCTGAGGGTGATTTAAAAAAAAAAAAATCGAAACTTTTTAATGATTAAAATTTAGTACTTCCCCGTCAAAAGCGAAACGTACGGTAAGACCCCTTTCTATCGAATTATTAACATCCGCCTGAAATTTCTTAAATAGTTTCATCTCATCGTAACCTACAACTATATCAGTTACGAAAACTCTTGAAATCGGAGCGTTTTCAATCTGGAGGGAGGCAAACTTTGTCTATTTAATTAGGTACTAAAAACTCATAAATACCCATTTTCTTTCTACTTAGATCGTAAGATAATATGGAATGTTTTACACAAAATGGAGAAAAAAGGTGGCCTTCAAAAATATTGAGCCACTTGGCGGGAACTATACTCCCAAATTTTCAAAATAACGACGTTATATAGGACAAACGGCCCAATAAACAGACAAAGTTTGTCCCCCTGCAGATTGAAAACGCACCATTTCCAAGAGTTTCCGTAAATAAAATAGTTGTAGCTTACGATGCGATGAAACTATTTACGAAGTTTCAGGCGGATGTCAATAATTCGATAAAAAAGGCTCTGTACCACAGACTATAAAGGGGTTTCCGTGAACGCTGGCCTCAAAGCGTATTCAACGTATGTTACGTGAGTTGCGAAATCTTAATAAATAAATACCTTGATAAATCCAGAAAGTTTTAAAATTATCGTATACTTTTATTATTTAAGACTCTTTTAAATTGAATCCATTCAAAACAGGCAGAGGGATGCCTATAAATACATAAGTATTTCTTAGTAATTAAAAATGTTTGCGATTATAGAAATGACATATTGTGAGAATATATGTCATAGAAAACATCACTAGTTTGTTACGGATGACATTTCATGACCTCAGATAATTATGAAATTTGATTATTTTTCCCTCCTTGAAATAGAAAATAGTGCTCTTATTGTAACTATGTATGATGAATAAAAGGGTTTGTGTCGTACTTTTGTATAGATAAATAAGGCGGAAAATCGCAAAAAC